CTCCCTCCCTCCCTTCCTTCCTTCCTTCCTTCCTTCCTTCCTTCCTTCCTTCCTTCCTTCCTTCCTTCTTTCCTTTTCCCTCCCTCCCTTCCTTCCTTTTTTTTTCTGTTGTCACCTAGTGTCATTTTCCTTCCAATTGAAAGATTTTTATTATTTCTTATAGGTTAGGTATATGAATAGTGAATTTTCTCCAACATTGTTTATCTGTAAATATATTTACTTTGTCTTTGTTTTTGAAGGATAGTTAACTATGGAATTATTCTTTTAATAGTTTCTTCCCCTGAGTTTGAATATTTATTTCATAGCTGGCTTCTGTAATTTCTAATGAGAAGCAGCCATTAATCATTTTGTTGAATTGTTCTTCATGGTTTTTCCAGTTTTTCCAGTTTTGCCTTTCAGAAGTTTGTCCAGATGTGTGTGTGTGTGTGTGAGTGTGTGTGTGTGTGTGTGTGTGTGTGTGTGTGTGTGTGTGATTTTTAAAAAATCTTGTGGAACTTTCATTAGGTTTATATGTTGAATGTCTCTATTTTTTGTTTCTTTTTATTATTTTTCTCTCAGTTTTGAATCATACAATTTCTCTTTAGTTATTTTCAAATTCAAGGATTTTTTGTTTTGAATATATATAGTAAAATTTCATTGTGCCTGTTATGCTCTTTATATATATATGTATATAAAATTACCATTTGCTTCTTTTAAATAGATTCTTCTTTGTTGAGTGATTATTGCTATATTTTCCTTTAATTCATTGTAACTTTCTTTAACTCTTTGGACATATTTTTGTAGCTGCTATGAAGTCTTTTTCCTGATAAATTTAACATTTGTGCCCACTCAGGTCCAATTCCTGTTGACTGTTATTTATTTATTTTGTTGTTTATTGTTTTTTTTTTTTTTCTATTTCTTTGAATGTCTTGTAATGTTTGGCTAACAAACTAGACATTTTCATAACAAATTACAGGAACTCTAGACTCTGTTTTATAACCTGATTCCTGTTGTGTGTAGTCATTAATTTATGTTAATTACTTACTTAGCTTTCTAGGAGTTGCCTTTGTTATCTACATCTTAACAATCAGTCAGTGATGTGGGCAGTTCCTAAGACTTCCATCCTAGGCTGATAGAGCTGTGTGTGGCTTGAGGAGTGCATTTAATGCTGAAACCACTGAATGTTACACCTAATTCTTTCTTAGCTATTACTTTTCCCTGGAAACTCTTGTGTCTCTGTAACAAGAATTTAGAGGTGAATTTTGCAAAAAGCACTGACTGTTCACTTGGGCAGCTCCCATGAATAACTAAAATCAGGACAAAACTTGACATCTCCACCTTCATTTTGTATCTACAGTATATCCTTTCTATCTTAACCTTTGGGTCGGATTCCCTCTCAACTGTGCACATAGGCATGTTAATCATTTAAAGATTGTTTATCTAAAGCTTATAATCCTTCCCTTCCAAAGATTAAGACAACGGGATAAGGATAATTAAGGTATTGTCAGGATTTGCAGGGACATTACCATCAATAGATTTTTAACAGTCAGCCTGTACAACATTTTGTTCAGATCTCCTGAGTGGCATGTAGAAGTCTCCAGTCATTGTCCTTAATCAGCCAGGAACAGTGAACCCTGTAGGCAGATCACCCTATAATAAGACTGCACCCTAAATGGGAGCAGTTACCCCATGCCAGGAATGAAGGCTGTTCCCTTAAGCTGCAATCATATTATGATGGGAACTAGATTGTTCCCTTGAGCCCTAACAACTGCAGAGCCACCAGGAAGAGCCAGACTTGAGGTAATGATTGTCCAACCCACAGTTTGAACTTAAGTATGCACAGTTCTTGCCTCCTGCCTGAGCTTTCCCCCTGTTTAATCCTGAAGCTCAAAACCTGCAGCTTCAGTACCTCTGGTGACAGAGTTGAGGAAGCTTGTCCTTCTTGTCTTCTGATATAGCTATATTGACTCTTCTATCAACAGTTTTTCCATTTGATGTTTGGGCAAATGGCTGGAGTTTGTTTGTTGGGACTCCTTGAAGTCTGGCCCCACTCTGGCCTAGGTCTTTGGTAACATCTCTTCAATGTATA